AGCCTGCGTCTCTAAGCCAATACAGCTTGCCGATAGAGTACTTTTTAGTAGACTAAAATATGACTGGAGAAACTAAAACAATTTCAAATTATTAAAATACCACTAAAAGTAAAATGGCATTTTAGTCAAAAGACTATGACTAAAACTAAATTGAAATTTGTACTGCATTTACATGAATGGGTGTTCTGTACCTGAATTGTATATCTGTAGCTCTTATTGGGGACGAACAGTGAAAGGTTGCAACGTTCACAGTTACAGTGAGACCATTTAGAGAAGACATTACCACACTCACATAGAAAGTGGAGACTTAGGAAACTTTGAATTTAACTTACAGAAGTTGCTGAGCAACACTCAAATGGGACATAGATGGACAACCTTTGCCTTATGCAAATTAATTTATTCTTCTTATTAATAGGTTTAGTGACACGTTAAGAGCCAATGTTAGCTTTATGGATTGAGAATTAAGGTTTAGTTCTATATTTAAGTTGGGTTAAAGTAGACTTATAGGCAAAACGTATATTTTCATTTTGTATACAGTAAGGGAGGGTTATAACCTCAATTGGATTTTTTTTTTTTTGTGTCCCATTGCAGAGATTTCCTTTTTCTTCCTGTCCCATAGCCAACCAGGAAATGCAAATTAAAGGAATTCCTTGGGGACCCCTGGTCACCAGAACTCCCCATTGGAAGTTTTCCCCCGTAATACTTTTCTGGAGGCAACCCAAAATGTGGGAGTTTCTTTTACTTTCACATTTACATTTTTCATTGATAATGGTGAACAGGACAAATAGAGAGGGTGAATCTTCCTGGGGGGAAGGACAGCAATAAAAACTGACAAGCATTCTAATCCCTCTCCACTCTATCAAAAACTAAAAAAAGTTTTGCTTTTAATTATACTTTGGGGGTTTTGAGGTAGGATTTAAGTATTAGAATTATTGCTGCACTGGAACATCATGGGTGTTATAGACCTCAGTGCTCATGTACATGTACAGTTTACTACTGGCAAACACCATGTACTATCTAATCCTGGCACTTGTTTAGAGTAAGAAAATCTTTAGACATTCTAGCATGTATGTCATGCTGTGAGCTGCACTGCATTGAATTGACCTTAAAAAACAGATTACCAATATTATCTCTAACTGTAATGCTCCCAGATCAGAAAAGCTTGAAAAAATGTGGTTACAAAGGAATACCACAGGTGCAGAAGGTTGAAAAGGGAAAGAGTAAATAAAGTGGTGTGCTGCTCTACTAATAGATATCCGACAGCTAGCTAACAAAACTGACAGAAGCAGTGTTGTGTTTCAATCCAAAACTGAATTTACTTCTGTGAATAGTTCAGTAAAACTGCAATACAATCATATAAACTGAAGTTAAAATATACTTGCATACATGTCTCTCACAAATGTATACAATTAGCACATTTATTGCAAACAGCTACATTCAATCACATTACATATATTGAAATATGATCTAGATATATACAGTATGTGTCTTTAACAAACACAATGAATGAACTTACAGGCATATGTCTATCAAAGGGAGAATGGAGAAAGACCATCTCTGGTGTTCTTCAGGAGCTAAAATGGCTTTGCAGTGGCAGATGGGACATATTTGGTAACAAGACACACCCTATTCTTGTTGAAAGGAATAATAAAAAACAGGCGCAGTTGAAATGAATACCCAATAGATGGCTCCCCTACTTAACACAATGATTTTATATAACAAGCAGAACTACACTGCATCTAACCACCAAAATCCAGAAACTCTACTTAGGGCCTCTGATAAAAAATATATAAATGTTTGGGGGTTCTAAGTTCTAGCACAAATACTGATTTTTACTTGTAAATAAAAGTGTCAGAAGGTGGCCTGGTCTTAAAGTGGATAATGCCTGAAGGTTTTCCTTGGATGTTGGGCCTCTTTATCTGGCTAGGCTTTGAAAAAGTCTCACATGTGGTATTGCCATACTCAGGAGGAGTAGAAGAATGTGTTTTTGGGGTGTAGTATGCCATGTATGAGAAATAACGTAATAAAATTTTTATGTGGAGAAAAAACACATTTTATTTAATTTCTTATTTTACAAATAATTGTAGAAAAAAATAACAACTTTAAAAAAACTCACCATGCCTTTTATTAAATACCGCAGACTGTCTACTTTCCAAAAAGGGGTCATTATTTCATTAAATATATATATATATATTTGTTTTACAATTAAAAGCAGGGGAGACTGAGAAAGGAGTCTCCAAAAAACACACAAGATTATATAAAGAAATGACATACATTAGCAGATAAATCACTAGAGGATAAGGAAACATACAATTAACCACTTGAGCTCCAGAGGATTTACCCCCCTTAATGACCAGGCCTCTTTTTGCTACTCGGCGCTGCACTAATTCAACTGATAATTGCGCGATCATGCAATGCTGCACCCAAACGAAATTGACGTCCTTTTTTTCACACAAATAGAGCTTTCTTTCGGTGGTATTTGATCATCTGTGCGCTTTTTATTTTTCACACTATAAACAAAAAAAAAGGCCAAAAATTTTGAAGAAAAACAATATTTTTTACTTTCAGCTAAAAAAAATATATAGTAAACTCAAAGTTGGTTACAAATTTAGGCCAAAATGTATTCTGCTACATGTTTTTGGTAAAAAAAATCCCAATGAGTGTATATTGATTGCTTTGTGTGGAAGTTATAGCGTCTACAAACTATGGTATAAATACTGCAATACGGTACATAAGTGAAACTTACATCCTTTTTTTCCCCACAAATTGAGCTTTCTTTTGGTGGTATTTGATCGCCTGTGCGGTTTTTATTTTTGCGCTATAAAAAAAGGCTGACAATTTTGAGGAAAAAAAAATGTTTTGAACTTTTTGCTATAAAACATGTCCAGTAAAAAAAAAAATGCAAAAATCAAATTTAGTCATAAATTTCTGCCAAAATGCATTCTGCGACATGTCTTTGCTACAAAAAAAACCCAATACGTGTAAATTAATTGGTTTACGTGAAAGTTATAGCGTTTACAAATGGCGGGAAAGATACTGGGATTTTTAGGTTTTTTTTTATACTAATAATGGCGACGATCAGTGAATTATGGCGGCGATCAGTGACTTATGGCAGTGACCAGCGACTTATGGCGGGACTGCGGGACTGCGGCGGACATTCTGACATTGGGGGGTACTGACTTGGGGTCACTGACATCCCCAAAACACTAATACAGTGATCAGTGCAAAAAGAAAAACACTGACACTGTACTAATGGCACTGGGGAGGAAGGGGTTAACTTTATTTTGCAGGGCAGGGTTATCTGAGTGAGGGGGAGTGTGTTTTACTAGGGGGCGGGGGTGTGTGCTGGACGGGACAAGGCTGATCAAGAGAGAGAAACTCTTCTGTCTCGATCAGCTTGTCCTCGAGCTGAGAAGGAAGTGACAGACAGCACAGCTACTGCAGCTGTGCTCTCTATCACTGTTTTACCGCCGATTGCTGGGAAACAGCCGCTAAGGACCGGCTGTGACCCGACAACTGACATCCGCGGCGGTGATCGGCGGGACAGATAGGGCGGCGGTGCGCCTCGCGCGCCCCTTATCTTTTTACAAAACACACGTTTTAAAACGTGGTTTTGCCTGCCAGTGCTGCCCTGCCGCCGTATTTCTACAGTGACAGGGCGGCAAGTGGTTAAACCCTAAATAATATCTCTTCTAGTGATATATGTAGTAATATATGTCATTTTTTAATATAATGTTAGTGTTCTACCTTCTCTCATATACGGTCTTGAAGTTTTATGCAAAACGCATTGACCGTTGAAGCTGGGCAAGCTATAAACACAGTCTATTGGCTACATAATCAACTGAAAAGAGGATGTTGTGTATTTTTGGGGGACTCTTTTCTCAGCCTCCCCTGATTTGAAATTTTTGCCATTATACTGTCTAAGTGTCTAGCAGTTTTTTGTTTTTTTTTAATAAATTCAATTGGATGTAGCCCATTGAAAGCTCTTAATACTCTTTAATGTCCTGGCATGTTAGAACCCCAAGAAATGAGATGTCAGTGCATCAGGTATGAAGAACAGGTGTGATCAATTTTCAATGATTGGCACCATAGCTTGTAGACTCTATAAAGTTCACACAGACCAAATAATATACACTGATTTGGGTTCTTTTTTCCAAAAAAATGTAGCAGTATAAATTTTGGCCAAAATGTATGGAGAAAATTTACTTATTTGCAAAATTTTATAAAAGAAACCAAGAAAAACGCACTTTTTGTTCAAAATTTGACTTTTTCTGTTTATAGCGCAAACAAAATTAAAAACCCAGTGGTGATTAAATACCACTAAAAGAAAGTTCATCTGTCTTAAAACTGATAACAATTTCATATGGGTAGTGTTGCATGACTAAGTAATTACCATTCAAAGTGCTGAAAGCTTAACCACTTCAAGTCCGGACACTTTCACTCCCTTCCTGTCCAGGCCAATTTTCAGCTTTCAGCGCTATCACACTTTGAATGACAATTGCGCAGTCATGCAACACTGTACCCATATGAATTTTTTTGCATTTTTTTAGACAGATAAAACTTTATTTTGGTGGTATTTATTCACCACTTTTTTTATTTTTTTGCTATATAAATGAAAAAGTCCAAACATTTTGAAAAGTGTTTTTTTATAAAATTTTGCAAATAAATAATCTTTCTTCATTAATCTTGGCCAAAATGTATTCAGATATCTTTTTAGTGCAAAAAAATAACCCAAATTAGTTTATAACCAATAATTATAAATTTTCAAAAAATCTTTTTACATTTTTATTTTTTTTTTTATATTATTATTTATGTGTTTTTTTTTTACATACTGTCACACTAGCAGTACAGTGTCACCATAGTGACACTGTACTACTTGTAGGGGGTGATGAATTGTTTTGTTTTTTTTTTTACACTGATTGCTTTTACACCCATAAAGGCTGTAAATGCAATCATTTCTCCTTCTCTATGGCTGCATTTTTGCAGCCATTGAAAAATACTGTGAGAGCTGTGATTAGTGACAGTTTTTCACATGGTACAAGGCTGTTGTGAATAGTCTTGTACCATGTGACCTCTGTGATCATTCACAGATTTCACTAGAAGTAAGCAATGATGTCAGCAAGTGACGTCTTGCTTACTACTATTCATGTGATCACTGATTGGCCAGTCAGTGATCACATGTTTGGGACCTCACACAGCAGGCACCGAATCGTGGTGCTGCACGCTCCCTGGGAGCGCACACAGGCAATGAATGTGGGAGGACGTTTATAAACGGCCACCCACTCCTGTACTGCTTCCATCCAGCTGTTTATGTACACAGTCTGGACGGGGTTAAAATTGGCCTGGCAAGGGGGTGAAAGTGCCCAGTATTGAGGTGGTTAAAATAGTCAATTTTGTTTAGTGAGTGAAGTCCTGCTTTTAAAGCATTAGCTAGGAGCTGCTATTAACACAGCAGATATCTTATAGTAGAAGATGTGAATGAAAAGAACTTGGGTATTAAATGTGTACAAAAATATACAATTTATAACATAACCTTCTGGAATGTTTTTCTGAAAGCACCGAAGTGCAAGAGAAAGATTGTTTTCCCCAGTGTTTTAGGTTTGTGTTGGTATTTACATGGAGATGTATCTAAATTGTACTAAACCTTTAATGTGCAGCACTAGTTTTACATCTTACCTGGAAGTATTACAGATTCTGGGAACTCTGCTCAACAACTGTATTAACATAACTATTTGTACACAGATGGGCACAATACCCTGCTTTATCCATGAATGGTATTCTTGGCTGAGCCAAAACGCACCTGTTGAATTTCATAATGACCCAAGTGTCTGCTCTAAAGCCTCTATTTGGACTGTTTTCAGATGCTACTTCCATTTACACAAGAATGCATTGAAATTACAACATTTTCCCGTGAAATTGCAAACTCCCAAAACACTCATGATATAGGCTGTCTCTTGAATATACTCAACCCATGTCAATTTAGAAGCAGAACAAACATAAAAGGTTTAGGTTAAATTTAAGAAAGTAACGAGCAAAGTATAAAGTACATTAAGCAATAGCAACTGGTCATTGGCTAACATTTAGTGTTATTGATAGTTTAGATTCTACAAAAGGCAATAATTGTTGCTGCATTGTTCAATAAATCAAAGAGGAGAGTATTTACTTGGTTTTATAATATGTATTACAGGAATTACCTGGTTACATTTAAAATTGAAATTAAAGTTGAAAAAAATGACTAATGCTCTTCCACATTAGTTGCTTTAATGTTAGAATGCTTTCAACATTTTGTGGTTCTCTATGAATAATATAAAATTATTTATAAAATGTTACCTTTTCATTGGCTAGCAACCTACCTCTAAATTTTCAATATCTTTGCAAGTCAAAATATATAGGATGTTTTAGCCTTGGACAGAGTAAGAAAGGGGTAGAACCTTAGCCATGTTTTTGCTGCCCTAACGCCCCAATACCCCTTGTTTTTACTGCCCCAATGGGGAAAATTTCCCTTGCTATCTGGTCCAATATTGCTGGCCACCAAGACAAGAAGGGCAAATCTCTCCACTGTTGTCACATACAGCAATACATATACATTATTTGGTATTATGGAAAAAGGTCGGCTTTATATTGCTGTTTGTCTAAATATATAAGGCTAGGCCTGCTGCTTTTTTTTTTTTCAAGCTGTGCTAGGCTTAAGCTACAGCTAATGACAGTTAATTCTGTTATTTGACCAAAAAAGGAACAACTTAAAGTGGTTCAGTAGCGCAAAATATCATATAGTGAATAAAACAATAAAACTAAATATCAAAATATGACTTTTGATTTGTAAAAGTCCCAAACAAAGTCCTTAACAAACCCACAAAAATCTTCAAGTTCTTAAAAAAAAAACACCACATGTACAAAATGAAATGTCCCCCCTTTTGGGTGTGCACTCACCAAATGAATATGCCCCCAACTCTAATGGTTGGCCAAATCACTTAAAGAAACCAATCACCACCTCCCATACACCAAAATGTCACTCTGTTCAGGATGCACAGGTATCGATCCATGGATTGGTTGGTAATAGGTATAAAGGCATTGAAAATAGTCACAACCACCCTTCTTCCTCCACCAATCCATGGAATGATACCTGTGCATCCTGAAGAGAGTGACATCTTGGTGTATGGGAGATGGTGATTTTTTTCTTCAAGCGATTTGGCCAACTATGAGAGTGGGGGACATATTAATTTGGTGAGTGCACACCCGAAAGGAGGGGCATTTTATTTTGTACACGTGGTGAACTTTTTTTTGAAGAACGTAAAGATTTGTGTGGGTTTATTAAGGACTTTGTTTAGGACTTTTTCACATCAAAAGTCATATTTTGTTATTTAGTTTTATTGTTTTATTCACTATATGATATTTTGCGCTACTGAACCACTTTAAGTTGTTCCTTTTTTTGGTCACATTGATTTCTTAGGAGTGGCAGCAATGATTTGAGCACCAATTGTATTTTTTGGCAGGTTACTTTAAGCGCAGTTTTGTTTGTTTTTGTATATGCTAATTCTGTTATTTAGCTATTTGTGAAAATGTCCAGTTACACATTATTCAATTCTAGTACTGGCAATCCATAATTTCATGCAGTGTGGGTTTCTATGATTTTTTAAGCAAAACTCCAAGCACAGTGAAGAAGCAACAATATGCTGATGAGGCAATTCCTCTGCTCTGTTCTCCTATCAGCATGTAGCTCAGTCACATATGTAAATGCAGGACACATGATTGACCCCGTGTTTTACTCCCCCCCCCCCCCCCCCCTCACATCTGACATCTGATTGCAAGAAGCTAAGATAAAGTAAAATATAGGTAAATAAATTAGCTGCATGACAACTAGGTAGCGGTCACTTTCCAGAAACCTCAGAAATTGAAGCCTTTATGCTTTTCTATGATTGCTTTCTTTTACCAATGATTCTGTTACATAACATAGATTTCTACATGCAGGTATAAAAAGCCAATAGAAATGTGAAAAACAATAAAACATGACATTCCATTTCCCATTATAGAACAAATACCAGATATAAGAATACTTGAAACATTTGTATTAAAGTGATCTCAAACCTTTTTTTTAAAAAATAATAAACATGTTATACTTGCTCTGTGCGATAGTTTTGCATCCCGTGCCACAGAAGGTTCTTTACCTTAATGAATAGAATGTGTTAGTGCTGGTTCACACATGTTGTGCGGATTGAAGCTCAGGTTTCACAGCTAATTGATACAGTAGTTGTTCAGTGGTTCAGGTCAGGTTTACATCAGGTTCAGGACAGGATTAGATCAGGTTCAGTTCAGGATTTTGTCCTGTTCCCAAATGTTGACATGTGCAGCTTGGAAATGGTTCCCATAGAAGTCAACAGCCTGAATCGCACCTGAACCGAACCGCACTGCTCAGAAATCAGACATGATTCTTTTTCCATACACACTGAATCTGCACTGCCAGTGCACCAGACTTTTTTGAACAGGCACCATAGGAAGCAATGCTATTTCACATGTCATGTGGATTGGATGTGGTTTTAAACCACATCCAATCCACATATATGTGAGCCAGCACTTAAAAAAAACCTTAGACCTTTAGAACCACTTTATCTACTTGGCACCCCCTAGTATTAGATTAACTGCTAGCGGGCAGCAACTGCAGGCTCAGCGGTGTACCTGTACATGGCCGAGCACATGTGTACTGGTACACAGCAGCAGGATCTCATGATGGACACAGAGGGGTTTATTTACTAAAGCTGGAGAGTCCAAAATCAGACTCCCTTCTGCATAGAAACCAATCAGCTTCCAGGTTTCATTGCCAAAGCTTCATTGAACAAGCTGAGGTTAGAAGCTGATTGGTTTCTATGCAGAAGGGAGTCTGATTTTGGACTCTCCAGCTTTAGTAAATAAACCCCAGAGTATCATGGGCTATGTCCAATCACATGATCAATTGTAATGACTTTCATGACATTTTGCTTACTGTTGTGATGTTGGTAAAACCTTTGCTTATAACAGCAATAGTCACTGTTATACTGTAAGCAACAATAGTGTAAATAAAAGGAAAAAATCCCTGATCATGCCCCCAGAGTAGTACAGTGTCACCATGGTGACACTGAACTACTCTGATGATAATATACAGTACAAACATATATATATATATATATATTAGTAATAAACAAGAAAAAAAGGTGGTAAAAAAAGAAAAAATGTTTAAAATGATTGACAATATTAAACAAATGATTTATTTACTTACATACATACTGTCACTAGTCAGAATCACTGATTGCCGCCACACCAGTCATATGATGACACTGTACTGCACTGGTGACAGTATGTAAAAAAAATTGTGAATAAAAACAAATTTTATTTCTTTGTTTTCTACAAAGTTGTGACAGAATACAACTCAAATCGTGACAAAAAAACTATCATGCCTCTTACTAAATACCTTCCTTTCTACTTTCCAAAAAGGGGTCATTTGAGGGGTATGTGTACTGTCCTGGCATTTTAGTGTCTCAAGAAATGAGAGGCCATCTGTACATTAGGACTGATCAATTTTCAAATATATATACCATAATTTATAGACTCTATGCCTTTCACACCGACTAAATAATATACACCAATTTAGGTTATTTTAACCAAAGAAATGTAAAAAATTTTTGGCCTAAATTTATGAAGTAAGATTATTTATTTGAAAAATGTTTAAACAGAAACAGAAACATTAGGGTTTTTTTTTTTTCAAAATTCAGGGTATTTTTGTTTATATAATACAAAAAAAACACAGTGGTGATTAAATACCAACAAAAGAAAGTTCTATTTATGTGAACAAAATTATACAAATTTCAATCGGGTACAGTGTTGCATGACTGAGCAATTGCCAGGTAAATTAGCACAATGCTGAATAACAAAAAATGCCCTGGTCATGAAGGGGTAAAACCTTCTGGAGGTCAAATAGGCCCCACAGTTCTTTAAATAGTGGAATAGAAGCCCAAGTATTAATAACAGTAATATGACAAGAATGTAAAATTATGAGAAGTCCATGGGGAATTATTATTAATTCTGGGTGTAGTGATAAAGATATACAGAAAAAATGAGCAATAATTATTTGAAAGCAGTGATAAATAATGCACAGATTTCCATCCCGCAAAGAATGAATAAGGACCTTCTTGAATATATAGCAACTAGATAGTTAATACTGTAAGATGAACAATGCCTTTTATGTCATAAGGACAAAATACACAATGAGCAACAAATATTTTGACATTGACCAAAGTATATTTTGAAAGGCCTTTCCCTCTCTTTGGTGTCTCCAAATCATATAGCTAATATCCTTAG